ACCCTGTTTTCTATTATCGTGGTGCGAAGGTAATGAGGACATCAAAATATATAATTATGCCCTTCGCGTTAATTTGCCAAATTAGCAAATTGTTATCAAAAGTGATGACGAAAGAAGTTAGCAAACCCTATTTAGAACGGGCTTTTTCCGGGGGGGGGAGGGGGTGGCTTTTGAAACTCTCACCCTTCAACTTAAGGCCGAGTATTAAAGCTATAACAGTGAAACTTGGAAGATTAATAGGATGCCCAAAAATAACTTTCTTTGAGGTCCCAAACATTGAATTATGGCGTCATAAAACGTAGACGTGCCATCATTAACTTCCAACAGCCGCCATCTTGGATTTCACGATTGTTGCAGAATGGTAGATGGCAATCATCAGTTTGTCTCTCAAAGGTACTTGTGTAAATTCCTGCCAAGTTTCGCTATAACTGTAGTATTTATTTCAATGAAAATCCTAAACGGCCATGATATTCTAATCTCAGTCCGTTTTCCTTGGAACAGTTCAAAATTTGTTCTTTTGCACTTTCTCTCTATTTGTAGAATGCATGCGGAAAGAATCCACCGTGTTGGAACAACGCCATTTGTCAGTCAGGTTTTACAGACAAGGGATGTAAATGCTTTTGTAATCCTGGATTTCAAGGCGAACACTGCGAAGGTACTCATATATATTTGTTATTGAACTAGGTTGTTCAGTCCGTATTGTAGAAGTATTGGTGTTTTTGTTTCGCAGGTTTATGAAGCAACGCCCGACATGCGAGGTCCATATACCATTTTTAAACAATTTATGAACAGTTATAAGGCCCTGCAACATTTTGTCATCTAATTTTTAATTTTCTTGTTTTAATTGTTAGACTTGATCGGATGCTCTGCTTTTTAATATTTGAGAATCTTTCTCTGCTATGGTTTTTCAGTTGCTACTGTTCTGTGTTACCCTCGATAAACAAATGTTGATTATTATTATTATTATTATTAATAATATTATTATTATTATTATTATCATTATTATTATACAGTAGTATGCATGCTACTGTGCCCTCATTAAATAGTACGACGGGGCGCGTGAGTGTAACCCGTTGACTATAGTGAAAACCCATAATTCTGTAAAATTAAGTATCTCTAGCTATTGAAATAACCTCTACCAATAAAAGAATAAAAAAAAAAGTAAATAATGATAATAGTAATTTTTTTTTCAATAATAAAAATAAAGTTTATTAGTGGCTTATAAAAAATTACAACTTTAAAAATTCTTAGGACAATATATATGTCAGGGAAATACTAACTTACAAACGAAATACAAATTACACTCATTTTACAACCCTTATAAATTTCTCTATTGTCATTTGTCGAAAAAATTTAAATAAGAATAGTAAAAAATACTCTACACATTTAAATGGCAGAAACTCTACTTTAAAAATACACTGTAGCTATATGCAGGTCCACTTCTTGGCTCAGTGTTCGTGGCTTCGGCTAGAGTTCCCCAGAAATAGCAGTCTCAATTACCTTAATAATATTAATAGTAACAATAAAACTATTACAAATCATGGAAAATAAAAACAGTCACTAAAATGTAATTGCCCCATTGGCTACGGATTCAGCCATGTTCATTGTTCAAAAGTAACTATCTCTACAGTCCATTGCCTGGTTGACTACGGACTTAGCAACGTTCATGTCGCAACTTTAAAAGTCTGAGCGATGTTAAGGGAACCCTACAACACGGCTTTCTGCATTTTATGGAGAACGTCCTTGCTCCTCCTTCCCACCAGCTCTTTTAGCGTAACTTCTAACTTTCCGCACAATCCGCCTGAAACATCCATAATGATATTGTATTGCCGCACTTCGTGTCCTTGATACTGCTGTTTCAGTTCCCATCGCAACGGCCCATTATTATTGCTATTACTATTACTATTATCATTATCATTGTCATTGTCATTATCATTATCATTATCATTATCATTATCACCATCACCATCACCATCACCATCACCATCACAGTGAAATCATGGACAAAATTGCCATTTACATGTTTCGTTCGAGAACGTTACTGAAATTCTTCTAGGTGTGAGAGAGTTTTAAACTTCCTGAAGAGGAGCCAGTCTTCACCGTATTTATTTTCTCGTTATATTTGGTTTAGGCACTGCTGGGAGTTTTCTGGCTGAACATGATGGCCATAAATTCTCTACAAAAGATCAGGATAATGACGTATCCACAGCAAATTGCGCCACAGTCGATGAAATAAGAGGAGCCTGGTGGTTCTATGACTGTACACAGAACAACCTGGATGGTGTCTATGCGAACGGAGGGGATGATGGAACCATGACATGGGGTGGCATTCGCTCCATTAAGAGAACAGAAATGAAAATCAGACCAGTGGATTTTTAGCATCAGCGCTTCCTTGCTGCTTGTTAATTGGAAGCTTTAGCAGTGACAACGGCGACCCTGAAGACAACGCCTAGTGAAAGATAAATTAATTTACAAGTTACCTTCGAATTTCGCAATTGTCTAAATCTGTTCAGTACGCCTATCGGTCTCAGAACTTTATCAAGCTAAAAGTGTAACGCCAGCGTTCAGTTCCAAATTGAAATTCGAAAAATTAGCTGCTTTTGCTTGCGTTCTCCAAAATATTGAGAACTTTATCATTTCACGTGCGTTGCTGTTTTGCAAAGGACGGCTAAGAAATGTACAAAGATTTATAACGCACGTGCATAGCCATAGTTCTGATCATTAAATGGTTTGTTCTGTGACTCTATCGTTGGCGTCGCCATCGTGATTTCCTTAAGCTCCCTAATAGAACTGCCTACAGCAAAAATCCAGCTGAGTACGTATTCTCGCTGACACAACTGAGACGTTATAGATGTCTGAATAGCTTAGCTATGAGGAATGGTGATATTCCTGAGAGGACCAATAATATGAACTTAAACCACAGGAAACAGTTTGGTTTGTTTTTCCGAGTTCAAGGCCCAAATTATTTAATTCTGGCAGCCCTAAAATTCATAGTGCACATATTTTCCTTCCTTTTAGTGAGCTTAATGTCTGGACTTTTTCGCTCCTCTTTTTCCTTCGCTTTTGCGCATTTAGCTTTGCTTAGCTTCTTTTATCCTAAATAATGATAACGCTTGTGTGTTAGAAAATATAAAGTTATTTATATAACCAGGCAGTGTAAAATATTCACCAGAATAAATTTGGTAATTATGGTAATTATGTAGATAAATTGTCCTGGCAATTACAGTATTTTAAATTAATTGGTCTTAGGTACACGAAAATGTCATGAATGTTGCAATTTTGTGGTACGGAATGGATCTTATTAAATACCTGTAAGCTGTACTTAGTATTGTACAGCTCTCATACTTTCAACTATATGTCTTCACAGTCACTTTTGGGAAGTGCCCCAAGACTATGTAGAATTCCAGTAATTTGTTTAAAGGGTAGTATTAATAGCATATACTATGAAAAGGAACTGAACTATTGCTGGATGTACAGCATAAAAACAAATAACAATTCAAGACTATGTTATAAAATTCGTGTAAGAATTCATGCCACCGCTAAGTCAATTGCAAACATTGTTTAAAGGTGGCTGTATCATAAATTGTTTCAGAAAAAAATGGAAGGAAGGACAATAAGTACAAGGTCTAAGGTTACTGTAAAACCTTTAGAGGTGTCTCATGTCCAAGCGAAGTTAACCTACTTGCAAAAAAGTCGTGTCCGATAGCTCAAGGCCTAATAGTTCCGTGGGAGATGCTTTGAGCAAATCAAATTACAGAAGTACAAGTACTGTGAGAGATGAAATTTTGGGAGGTTAGCGAGAAGGGCTTTTGGGCAAGTACATCATAATTACGGCTTACCGAGAGGGTAGCCCAAGGAATTGGTTTTCATTTCTTTGAACCCTACTTATGCTTACTTTGGGAGATGGCACAAACCATTCCAGCAGGAGAAAACTTCATATAAAAGTGAAGAGCACTAACTGTATCTTCAAGTTAGATGTAATTTAACTCTCCAACTTAACACAACGGTATACTATTAATTTTTCAACTTTTTGGGGAGTTATGGTAGAGATTTAGGAACTTAGCATATTTTAACTGCTGTATTTCACTCATGCCCCACAAAAATTGTGCAGCATTCTGTCATGAGGAAATCCTAATGTTAACTAATAAAGGATAAAACGGTTCATTAAAATGTTGTCTTTCTGATCAAGGAGATACAGTCGAACCTGTATATAACGGCCCTGTATTAAGCGGCTTCTCTCTATAAAGCGGCCAATTTTCAAAGTGCAAATTTTTCACTCATACAAGCGCTGTATTTGTTACCTGTATTAAGCGGCCGCGGCCACCCTATAGCAGTCCAATGTTTGTCTTTCTTTGTTATTTTTACCTGTATTAATTAAGCGGCTACCCTTTAACGGAAACTAAGCCACGTGCCATTTTATGCGGTATTTTATTGTGTCTAAAATGTGATCCAGCATCACTATCAAGAACTAGTAGTAATCAGTGATTGGAGGAGTGCGTTCGACAGGACATTGTCTTTGAGAGGGAGTTAAAAGGACTTATAGGCATTTATGTTGCTATTTTAAGATCTGTTTACGGAAAAAAAAAGTGAATGTAATTTTGCCAACTGTGGATGATAACTTAAATGTTGAATTCCAGCCAAACGAATTTGAAAGTGCAAGTCTGCAGTTTCATAATGCTGATGTAAAACAGACTTAAAGAAACAACCACCATTCCCGCCGACATCATATGGTATTAAGCTTAAACGTGCAAGTCTCTCAGTTAGGCAAGTCCAAGCAGCGTGACATGTACTACTGACATTTTCTGGAGGCACACCTCTCTTCAAAGTTGAACCATTCCAATTACCAGAGATGGAAGAATGTCACGCAGGAAGCGTATTACATTGTATGACAGCGACAGGAATCTCTAAAAATCTTGGAGATTTTTATCTCGTGACATTTTGAAAAGGCCAAAACAAAACGGCAGCCAAAGTTGAGTTCGAAATTTTCCTTAGAACGCAGAAACGTTATGCGCCAGGCAGTGTTGGCTTCCTAGAAAGATAACACATTATTTCACTGGGTTTGGGAAGCAGGTCGCTTAGTTAAAGAGTCTGGAACACTACGGTAAGTAAAACTATATCCAGAAATGTAAGTTGCTGTTTGTACTTTACATGAAAGGCTGTATCTATTTGAAATAAAGAAGATTATAGTTATTTTTTGCAGGGTGCTTTCAGTTTTTATGTAACTCTCAATTCTAAGTTTAAAACTTAAAAGATAAACTGAGCCGACTGACTCAAAATTAGCACATTTTCTTTTTAACCTAAACACAAGCGAGATCTAGTTGCGTTGAGTTTAATTTTCTACAGTTGAATTTAAGCCAATGTTTTAAGTATCTACCTGTGTGGCCATTCTTGTTGCGTAATGATTTAAATCCCATTGATTATTAGACTATTTTTTGAGTAAATTTAACCTGAAATCAAACTTGTCCCATTAAACATTTTTGCCTAAACTATGTGTTGTATGGTTTTCCTTTTCATATAAAGTATATGCATATCAGTGGCTGAATGCATGTAATCGAGAATAAGTTGATATCAAGAAATTATCAAAAGTTGTTAATTATTGTTCAGTGACATAAAACTAAAAGAAATAGTGTATGTACCTTAAAAGCAGCTGAAAGG